GTATAACATTTTGTATATGTGTGTTTTTGTTTGTAGGTATGTGTGTATGTGTTTGTGTGTCTGTCTGTGTGTGTGTATGTGTCTGTATGTATGTGTATGTGTGTGTCTGTTTGTATGTATGTGTGTATCTATGTGTATGTGTCTGTGTGTCTGTGTGTTTCTGTCTGTGTGTGTCTCTGTCTATGTATGTAGGAATGTTTTTTTTTCCTTAATGTGATTATGTACCAATCTTCATCCTAAATGTGGTGCTCATCTAAAAACTATCCTCGGTTGTACAGGTAAAAAATTATATAAGGCAGGGTCTCTTTTTAAAATAGGCCAACATTTAATTATGATATTTCTCACTTTTTTGTTTTCTTGACTGAAATTACAAATAAAGGGCATCTCTGTTGTTTCCTCTTTTTTAGGTTTATATTCCAAAAGGGAGTTTCTTTTTTTGTTTTTAACTATCTTTATGGTGTTCATTAAGATGTCCTCCCTGTATCCTTTTTCAATAACTTGATCTTTAATCTTATTCACCTGAGTTTCATATATCTCCAAATCTGTACAGTTTCTGCACATTTTACACTCTACAATCTTTACTGCTAGAGTATTTTTTCTTTAAGAGGTAAAAAAAAGTTTTTCACTAGGGCAAAAATGTATGCAAAAATATTTGCGTTACATGGTAGTTGGAACAAGTTTTTTTCTCCCTTTCTATTTTGTTCTTATATGTTTGGCATAATTTACTGTATTAGATTGAAATGCATAAATCTAATGTATAATAGGTGAGGTTTTAATGGTCTGATTCTACAATGTAACTACACCACTGGACAGGTAACATATACATTTGAGAACATTTTTATTTTAGAAAAATGCAACTTACAACTTACAATATACATTTTGTTATAAAGAAAAAAAAGGGAAAATAAAATGGCACTCACTATGGCAGGCTATTAAATTCTAATCAAATCACATTCAACACATTTTTACCAATAAAAGCAACATTTCTGTTTTAACATTTGAAGGTTGGTTAAAACATTGGTTTTGCAAAAAAACTTTAATGCAGATAAAAGGAAATATAAATTGCTGAACAAAGGATAATCAACATGAACATTTCTAATATTCTAAGAGTTTAAAAGACACATTTAGCTGGAATGCATGAATCCAGTTGTGTCAAATAACTGTATTTTTTTTAATCCTACTCAGCAATTTTTATTCTGAAATTTTTCTATTCTCCACTATTGTTGGTTTAGTGAATAAATGCAAATATGAAAATGGGTAAGTTGTAATGTCACCAATGTTCTTCTTAATCCACAATTATATTTAACATTGATTATAATTCAAATATATGTGGGGATTTCCATAAATGTTTTTGAGTTTAGAAAGAATATCTTTGATAAAATAACAGAATGGTCAAAAGAGCTCCGTTCAAGATTTTGCTAAAAATTATTTTGGCCTTAATTTTGTAATTTGGTTTTTATTCCACAAAAAAAAAAAAAAAAAAAAACACTGAATATTTAATTTTAAACAGTCAAAATTAAAAAAAGCTGAAAAGCTCTACTAATGCAATTTTAAATATGTTATTAATAACTCAGTCATGAAATAATATTCTAAAGCAATATAATAACAGAGAACATATATTTATGAATATCTAATTGAGAATTTGTTGAAAACTTTGTAATACATTAAATACATTTCAACAATCTGTCCTGCTTGTTGAATTCAGAGCAGTAAGCTACCATATGCAAACTAGTGACATGCTTGGTTATTATCCCAGGTCTTTAATTCTAAACTGCACAAGGCTAGTAATCGCATCTGACTTCAGCTTGAGATGTAGCATTGGCTATTGTGTTCACAGCTTGTTACTTCTAGATGGGTTATCATATGGTTTTGTTATTTTGGCAAGGACGTTCTTGTCCATCTGTGACAATCCCATATGTTCTAAATTTTGATAATAAAATATTATTTGTATTTTGTACATAAATTGGCAAAATATATGACCTTGATGTGCTAAAATATCTTTCATAGATTTTTTTTTTTACATTTTACTATGCATCTGTTAAAACAAAGAACTTATAGAGGGTAATACTTTTGAGAATTATGTCACAGTTCTCCTTTTCATATAATTATCAATCCCGCATCTTTGGTAAACAAATAATTTCTTAAACATTCTTCATTTCTATAAAATATTAAATCTTGTGAACTTTCATTTAGAATATTTTATGTTAGACCAATGTTTAAAGTCACAAGCATTACATACAGATGCACTTTCTTTAAGTTAAAATGCATTAAATGCTAACTGTGGACAATTTTATTTCTTGCATATTAATGTTAGAAAACATTCCAGTTTTTTAAGTTTAATCTAGAGGCTCAAAATATGACAACTTATTGCAGTATCTTCAGTATGGTTATGGACAAATGCAAATATTAAAAATTTTAGAATGCAAACTTGTATTTTTTAAACTGTGTACTTTATCTTTAAAGTATTGCAAACTGACAAGGTGTTAGAAATGGAACATATTGTTTGTCATACATGTTTCTTTAAGCAATAACCTCTTACCTACTTTTAGTGCATAATATGCTGCGCAGTACTAACCTATGCCATTTTGTCTTAGCTTAATGGAATTTCCCATGACGTGTGTACCCTTACGTTTTAGTTATATCCTTGTATCTTTGCCAAGTTAAGTGGGGTCCTAAAATGAACATGTAAGGTATAAATATGAACCCTTTTAATGTTAGCACAGAGAGGAAAGATTTGGAGACAGATGCTGCTCCATAATATAATGACAGAGAGACTGACATGTTGACATGTTCATGAGGGTATGTTATTCTATTTTAATGATATTGCAAGCATATAGTTTAATCTTATAAACTCTGCTATACATTATTGTAATAGATTTTATATGTCTATATTTATATTTTAATATAATAAATATCTAAAAAAAACTAAACTTTATTGCTTCCAAGACAATCCTTGTATTATATTGTATTCTCAATTATTTATATATTTTAAATAGAGGATCTCTTACTGACTATATAAAAAATATGCCATCTGTATGGTTAGCCCTTTAAGATGTTATAGTGGTAAATAGGGGAACCAGCTGTGGTTACAGTATAAGTTGCCCTTTTTTGACAGAAAAGAGTTGTATTTAGCTATATTCACTTCTAACCAGGTTTTATCAACTTTTTCAATGGATGTATTGACTTTATGTTTGGAGGTATCTGCTGATGTGATGGTTCTGCCCCTTTTGTGGCAGATCTTGTAATTTTTTTTATATATTCTTTATTTTTGTAGTGCTAAGAATTACAGACATGCTTATATTGCCACGACAGCAGATACAAGCTTATGGAATAACACAAGATAATCAGTAACATAGCAAGCATTAACAGCACAATTTTTTAAGATATCAGGCTGGGTAAAAATGTCTATTACAGTAGTTTCAACCAGGCTGGTAACTATGAGGAATAGAATAGACATAAAAATAATAAGGTGCGCTGTGTCTTTAAGACCCAAAAATATATAAAGTGCAACTAAGTGCAAACAAATTGATAAAGTGCAAAGTGATACAAAGTGCACTTAAAGTGTAAAATATCAGTATAAAATATTATACATACATATAGCCTCTCAACTCCGAATATACATAGAAAGGAAAAGAGACATAAAAAAACCAATAGTGTAAAACCGTATTAAAACAGTAGTATAGATAATAAATGCCAAATATTGCACTCACAAAAGTAGAGCAGAATAAGCCTGCTATAGCTTTAACAGCTTCTTCAAATGTAGGACTGCACAGACGAAAAAATATTCCAAAATCTTTATTGCCCAGCACAGCACCAATATATCACCTTCCTCCACACTTAGTATTCAGTTACAGAGCCTTCGGTAGCATACAGCATAAGGGTGTCGACTTGTCCCTCTGCGGATTCGCCGCCGTTATTGCAGTCTGTTGGCCGTCTGTTTCCTCAAACTTCCAGGGGGAGGAGCTTCCTCGGGTGCGTGACGTCAGGTGCGTAACTTTACGTGATGACGCGTTTCGCCGTATTCACGGCTTCATCAGATCTGCCCATCCATGTCCTTACAGTTCTTATATACCCATCTTAATGAGTACATTCAGGTGACTGCCATATAAAGTCTATTATTTTGTTGCTGGCATCAATCAAATCAATTGCATATATATACAAAAAAACAGTATTACTTTATTCAAAAAACATCATGATTTAAATACTTGCATTATTTAAAAACATATATATAAACATTGAAACATATCATTTCCCAAAGAAACTTATTTCAAGAGACATATTTAAAGAAACATACATAAAGCCATCATTACCTTAAGAGAATTGTTTAAAAAGACACATTTAAAGAGACATACTTAAAAATACATAAATACATATTTAAAAATACATGCTAATGACATAGCACCTCCTCCTAATCCAAATGTAAAAAGAGAAAAATATTATACATTATAAGGAATATATATAGAAACATATTTAATTATACTAAAAAAACCCACATCTGTATTAACCTAAAAAATTTAATAAATCAAATTCTATATTGAGCCCCCTAGGTTCTAAAGTTTTTAACCTATGGACCCATTGCACCCAGTTTGAGTACTATTAGAAACATTTAGAGATTAAGCATAGTTCCAGCCTACGAGATTAGTGATGCTTCTAGGGTTGAGTAAGTGTATGAGCGTTGCTTTGATATAAATGCCATTTGCCCTATGCCATATGTGTAACCAGTGAAATTATCAGGAGAGTTAAATGGCAAGATAGCAAAAAGCACGGTGCATGTTAATTGCTGGCATAAGCAGCATTAATATTTTAGCTAGTCGACATTCTATGTGTGACATGTGGTGAAGTACCACTGGGCATTTAGATGAGGCAGAGATAATGCAAATAATAATACAAATAATAATAATAAGGCAGCACAATTATTTAACTCAGAGTCAATCAACAGAGGGCTTACGGAAAAATGAAAAAAGCCCAGTCTCCGCGCGCCCATGTGATGCCAGGCTGAGTCATCCGATGCCACTCGGTAGCCTTGAGCAGGACTCCAGCCGCTCTGCTTCCCAGGCGTGTGGACGCCACCAGACCCAGGTGTATCTGCTCTCTTGTGCCCCCTTGATAAAATAAGTGCAAAGTCCTCCTGCCGGGCTACGGTTGTGCTGTGATCTGTAGTGCTGAGTGTGTGCTGCACGACTCGGTCGGTTGCGTGCATAGTGTTGGCCCCCTCCCGAGCTCCACCTCGGTAAGCAGCAGCAAGGTGATTTAGCAGGGTTTCGGAGGTGTTGTGTCACCAGTGGGCCACCTGTAGACTTCTCCGTCGCTTGTGTCACTGCAGAGCGTTGGGCGCTGGCCCCATGAGGCTGGGAGCCCCGTGCTGTTTCGTGCCCCGTGCGCTTCATGTTAGTCTGTGTCCTGTGCGAGTTGTGTTTTGCAGGGTGAGCGGGCTTTCGTCGGTGTAGCTGTGCTCGGGGCACCCGCCTCTGCTTTCCATCCCCCGGTACTGCTTTAGATTTCTTTGGGGGTCTCCCCCTAGTTTTGCCTCGCAGCAGGTGAGGGCGGAGTAGTGCAGCCATGACAGATTTCTGCCTCTTGCTGTGGGTTTGGGCAGGTGAGTTAGGGATGGTGGGTCTGCTGTCTATGCGGATCCAAAAGTCTCGGCATATTTTGTCGAACCGGGCCCTGAAGCTCTGCTCCCAGTCCAGGCTCTCCAGGTTTGCCTGCCGCAGGGAAGGCCTCTGCATGGCGGACATTTTGATCCGCCACGCGGTCCAAGACTCTGCCACTTTTGAACATTGCAGGTTTGTAGTGTGCCCAGTGGGGACTGTGATCACCCCCACCAGTCCAAAGGGGGGGTAACGGGGTGTCTGTGGTGGTGCCTCGAACCTTGTGGTCTCAAGCGGGAGATCGGCCGCGTCTCCCAGCCGTCGGGCCCTCTGTCCAGTTAGGCCGCCAAACAAGCCGGTAGCTTATAGCTTTCCAGAACAAGTTGTGTGGGATCTCTTGTGTCCCTGTCGATAGAGGTGCCTGTTGTGTCACTTGCTGAGCTGTCCGCCACTATTTTCGTGCAAATTTGATAGTGGTTGTGCTGGCAGGAGCTCACAGAAACACGTCTGGCCAGCTTGCGAGTCAGGTCCTGCCCCCCCCGGCAGATCTTGTTATTTTATGTATTCATCCAAAGAAGGGAAATCTCTGTTAAAGCATAGTAAGTTAATACTAAAATATTTTAAGTTATAAAACAGTAAATGTAAAAATTCAGTAATATCCGAAATATGTTCTGCTTCTTAGTCCCTCAGTGGCTGGAGTTTTTCACTTCACATTTTCAGTGTACATATTAGGTACTAGTTGTTAAATGCTATAAACTATAGTGTATAAAATAATGTAACCAATTAAATGGAAAATGTTCAAAACCACTTTGTTTTACTTGTGGTTCAGAGTTCTGTCTGTGGCACCAAAAATAAATGACTGACGGGAACAAACAGATGGCTCGAGAGTTGGGGGACAGCCACTAAATGTAAATTTTATTTACAATTCATATGACAAATGATCAATGAAGGGAAATAAAATGAGCAGAAAAACAATATGTATTGTATATATAATATATTGAATTCATATGTGAAATATAAATATATAAATATAGATTTTTCTACTGCTCCTACTCTTTTTATTCTTTATTGATTACTTCTCACTTGATCTGTGAACCAAATCACATACAAATGCAACCACTTAGTGTACTGATAAATATGTACATAATAATTATATTTTCAATACAATGAATTGCCAAATGTTATGCTCTTGTATGTTAATATTATTTCATCAAATAATCACAAGAACAAAATTTGTCTGAACCAAAATGCCACATGGGTGAAACCAGAATCACATCAATCGATTATTTTTAGTTTACAAACCAATTTTTTTCACCATGTACAAGTCTACTAGTGGTAAAACATTTTACTTAACTACCCGACTGTTTTTCTTATAGCAACCAAAATAAATAATGTTTAGGCACTCAAAATATAAGCAATTGTTAACACACTGTGAGTTGCAAAACTCCTTTGATTGATGCCTCTCACATCAGTGAAATAATCACAATTACCAAAAATAAAATGAGGTGTGCTCATATACAAATACTTATACTTATTTACTGTATTAAATTCTTGGAATGTAGAAGAGTACAAGAAACAAAAAAATAAATAATATGCACAAATAATTGTGCAGATCATACCAATAACAAATAATAGTGCAAAGTGCATACAGTAAAAGCTAAATATCCACAATTTAATTTGAAATTAAACGTATTAATGTTGATTGATCACAAAATATTAAATAAAACATAAATCACATATATGCAATGTGTAAGTAGGTAAATAGGTACAAATAAACAGTTTTTTTATGTAAAAAATTCCAAGTAACATATGTGTGTGAGATCTTCCTTTGTTTATGGTAGTGCTTGAAACCAATTTAGCTCAATATAACAGTGCCCAGATATAAGGTTTTATTCTATGGAATGACGACCACTCTCCAAGCAGGATACATCCCAGGGATGAGAAAAGCGGGTTCCGTAAAATTAAAGGGACACTTTAGCCATCCAGATCATTTTAGCTAATTGAAGAGGTCTGGGTGCAGTGTCACTGCCCCACTTAGTCATGTAATTTAAAAAAATTTCAGTTTTAGAGAAACTGCAATGATTACTTAGCAGGACATTGGGCAGACTAGATGGGCCGAATGGTTCTTATCTGCCGTCACATTCTACGTTTCTATGACTAAGACTGCCTCTAGTGGCTGTCAGATGTTAACGGACTCCAGGTCATCTATATAACCCTGGACACCTCACGCTCTACTTAAAGACATCCGGCACCAGTGAAAACCCCGTAGGAAAGCATTGAGGCAATGATGGCTCCATGCACTTAGGGTGCTTGCTGCACATGCGCATTACCCCCCCAAAGCTTGAGGAAGTGGGGCTCCAACCCAGTGACGAGGAACATCAGTAATAGAATCGGGTAAGTGTTAAACAGTTTTTTAACCTTTTACATGCTGGAGTTTAACTATAGTGTTGTATTCCTAACACTATAGAATCCCTTTAGTCCAATTCATTATGCTAGAATAGCCTTTAAAACCAAAACAAAATAATTTAGAAAGCTTAAATTAATTTAAGAACAATAACGCACCCTGGTGAGGTAAATCATAAATAAAATTATGTACTGGTCATATTTAGTTTTCAAAACCAGCCACATGACTGATGAATATGGTCTTCACCATCCCTGGTGCATACCTTAGCCCGAGAAGTGTTTCTTAGCAACCATGCTTCCTCCAGTCGAGATAAGCTTGCTTCGCACCTATCCTGAATATATATCAAGTTATTTATCATTGGCTGCTGTTAAAAACCTAGTTTGCATACATAATGAGGCAGATTGTACTTGCCCAATAATAGTATTACTGGTTTCTAGGTGTGCACATAAAACAAACAGATACAATCTCATTATGAGGGGGGCGGGGCTTAGTCGCGTAACGAAGCAGGTGCCATTTTCCATTCCCCCGACGGCGTTCTGCACAATCCGCCGAAAATCGACTGATACACTGCCCATCCAGCCCAATCACCGAGAGTACCCGTGAGCGGAGGCCATCAGGTGCTGGTACATGCCTTTTTTAGCAAAATCTGTCCTGACCACCCTTCAGCACACACCCCACCACAAGCAGCAGACACCGGCTGCAGGCTTCCCTGATTTCTCAGCACTGGCCACCAAGCAGGACATTAAAAACTACATTACGGTACCTAAAAGCTCATTTTTGATGGCATGTTTCGCCTACCTAAATCACCAAAGGCCCCAACAAACTCTGTGAGTGACATCATAGTTCGCTGTGCCATGGCCCAAGACAAACAGGCACTACTCCTTTGTACTAAGAAACCAAACTCCCTACACATTTGAGGGAGCTGATCGGTCCTTCTACCAGAACCTGTCAAGGCCCACCTTATAATGGCGCAAATCACTCCTCCAGGCCACAAGCCAACTGAGACACGCGGGAATACCATACCAATGGACTACTCCACGAGCTCTCACGGTGAACCATAATGGGACTAACTACAGATTCTTCTCAGCCGAAGAGGCGCCTGCACTGTTGCGGGCACTGGGACTGTCAATCCCCGATGAGGAGTCAAGAGACCGGAGGGCAACACCGACCTGAAACCCAGCCACAGTAGTCGCCTTCACCCCACGGAACCACACAGCTACAGGCACCGATACATGACTAGGTCCCCCCTTGGTTAGGGGTAATACAAGCCAAAACTGACCCACTTACTTGCCACCGCAACACCGCCTCTATCTAGGTCCCAAAATAGAACGCCAACGTTCACCACGACAAGAGGCACCCACAGACTACCACACCCACAGACCTTAGCCCACTTCAACCCACACAGCAACCAACTGACAGTAATAACTCTAGTGGTTCCAACCTAGACCTACCCAACCCAGTTCTTGACCACACCTAGATAGCCTCCAGGGAGGCACCACATACTCACAAGCACAGGCCAAAGGGTACTCACTATAGTCGGGACAGGGATGCCCTCGTAGCACCCACCAAAATGACAAGCGACTTTCCAGAGAGGGCCCAGGCCAAGTGACATGAAAACTATGACACACAATCTAGAGCATATTGCCACACCGCACCGGGTACCCTGCTTAAACACTAAAAGTGTAATATTGTTATGCTAGTGCACTATCTGGTTTATATTGCTTGTTTTAACATAAAATGGTGCAACTCTCTCAATATGTCTGGTGCTCATACACCTTCACAATATCACTCGATGACATGTTATGTACCTGCAAATGTTCTTTACATGCACCGCAAAAATAAAGAATTCAACAAAAAAAAAAATCTCATTATGAGCAAATCACCTGGTCAAATAACAAATGGGCCACAAATGGGCATGTGTCTGCTCAAATGGTCAGAAACAGACTCCATGAGGGTGGTATGAGGGCCTGATGTCCACAGGTGGGGGTTGTGCTTACAGTCCAACACTGCGCGGGACGTTTGGCATTTGCCAGAGAACACCAAGATTGGCAAATTCGCCACTGGCGCCCTGTGCCCTTCACAGATGAAAGCAGGTTCACACATGTGCTCAGTATTAGACCGCTATTGAATGGTTGAACCCCAAAGTCTTCAAACCATCAACCAATCGTGCTGCCCCACTCAATGTCAGGAATCCTCAGACTTTGAGCTGCTCTAAGGACTAAGTGAAGAGAAATATTGCAATGGTCATTTATATCTGAAATACAGACTTTTATTTCTACAGACCTAACAGATGTACTTACAGCACAAAGGATGTATTATCATCCACTTATATATTTAAACGTTTGACTTAGCAAGTTTGAAAGTAGAGTGTAATCATGGCCAAACATAGTTTTTTTTTTTGTTTAAATGTCATCTTATTTTTAATAATTTTATACAAAAGTTAATTTTTAATGTCAGATGTGAACCATTTTTGCCAATTCAATTGAGCTAGCAACTTCTGGTTTTATATATAATGTGATAAATTCTATCAATCTGATTGTGTCAAAAATACATTTTTATGTATACATTCCAAGAGTCTGTATTTTCCTGAAAGCTGAGAATTATTAAGAAAGCTGTTGAAACAATTCATTGCGGATTACTAGTTATACATTGCTTCTCCAACTATAGAGCAATTATTATACAATACTTATTAGCCATTTTTTTTATTCTTATTAATATTATCACAGTTGTGATTCCATGCTGTTCTTGTTACCTTGTGACTTAAGTCAGACTTTTAAAAGTGCCATCTGTGCACATAATATACACTAATAGATATCTCTTTGAGGACTAATGAATTGTAATTGATGATGCTCACATTGGATTTTTTTCTTTTGAAGATGAGTTTTCTCATATCTTCTTTCATGAGCTGCTGGAAAACATACACACACAGATGGTCAACAAAAGGTGAAGAATAGCTGAACTCATTTACTATCAGTTTTATTTTAAAGAGGATGCAATGTGAAATGCTAATCAGCTTACCTTTCTAGCCAAATGACTTACAAATTGGGTTTAAGGAAAAACCCTGAATGCATATAACATCATATAAAAAAAAAAACATATCTATTATTTTTTTTTTTTTTTTAAATGAGGGTTGAAAGGTTGAAAGGTTGATATCTGTGTTGCAAATAAATAAGAATAGAATAATAAGACTCAAAATTAGCAGAATAATTATATAGTAAGATTAAGATGTTCAGATTATTCCTATATTCAATTATACATATGATCTGTCTTTTTAAAAAGATTGTTTTACTAAAGTCAAGATACTTGCAAAGTGGTTCACTACAATAGTTTTACAAGGACTGACTGATAAACAATGAAGCAGGACTAAAAAATGAACTGACATGCTATTAAAAGTACAACCAAGATATTCAGAATGATCCCGACTCACGTACCCAAATCATATTGCCACAAAGTGCAAAGAGTCTTCTCTGCATTTGTATGGGCAAACAAGAAAGCCAGGATAGCGGGCGGATGTCTACAGAGACCTTAGGAGGCAGGGGGCATGGGGGTTCCAGACGTCTGGGCATACCATAGAGCAGCCTTGCTGGCGCAAGCCATCAACTTAAATGCCCCCAAGGGAATTCTTAACTGGATAGACTTAGAACAACAACAAATGCATGGTGACAGCCTATTAGCATACATGTGGACCCCTGCGTTACTTCGCGGCACACAACCACCGCTGTCCCTCACCACATTAGCATCAGTATCAGCTTGGGATGCCTTGCTAAAAGCTTGTGAGAGCACCGGGAAGTATCACAAGCTGAGTCCTCTTGGGGCATTGTCCACGGTCTCCCCGTGGCTCTCCCTGAAGCGCTGGGTGGCACATGGAGTTACCAGCATATCCCAATTTATCTCGGGAGGCTCACTCATACCGTTTGCCGAACTGCAACAGAAATATAATCTGCCCTCCAAATTCACATTCTTATATCTACAAATAAAAAGTGTACTTATGAACCATGTGGACTACACCATAACCAACACTACTAGGGAGATGACGGGAGTTGCTAATTTAATTGCTACAGGTTGGAACAGACCTCTAAAACCCAAGCTTCTCTCACTTTACTATAAATCACACTTTGACGACCGTGACAGGACTCAGTTCCCATTTGCGGCGCAGTGGGAGAGGAAAACAGGGCAACAGACATCGATGGACCAATGGGTGCGGAAACTGAACGCCCTCAATGGCATGACTACATGTTTTTCCCACTGGGAAGCCCACTGAAAGCTGATATACCGCTGGTATCTGACCCCAGATAGGCTCAGTCATATGTATGCAAATGTGCTGGGAGTCTGATGGAGATGTGGTAGAGACAAAGGCACCATGCTTCACATTTCGTGGAGGTGCACAAAATTAGGCCGCTGTGGGAAACAGTACATAAGCTGACTCACGAACTGGGACTAGAGACGCCCTTAGCCCACAAGACCTTCCTGTCGCTGGACCTCCCTACTCAGTATACTTTTCATAATCGAGCGCTGTTGGCCCAGATTGCGCTGGCAGCTAGAGCGCTGATATCCCTAAACTGGAAGCTGGTGGTATGTCCGACCAAACAAATGCTGATGGATAAGATCCAACTCAACTTTTCCTATGAGCGTATGTCAGTGACCACCCCAACCCAACAACAAAAAATTATGAAAATATGGGAAAGCTGGCAAATCCGATACCCACCCTGAGCAGAGCTAGCAATAGAGAAGGGAGGACCTGGGAGGGAGGGTACTCTCTCAGATATTCTCTCAGATGAATCAAAACTGACTGACTTAAGGACTTAATGCAGACTTAATGCAAGATTACGCTGTCACAGTAAAATATCACTAACAGGTGTAGGAATGTACCATATTTCCATGTTCAGTATTTTCCTTTCCCTATTTTTTTTCTCCCACCCCTTCCCTCAGTTTAGTTACCCTGGTTTCTTTCCAATACAGGATTTACATACTGACTTGGCAACTGAGTATGACAGTAGCAAAAACATGTTGGCAACAGGAAAAGGGGAAATACCTCGGGCATACAAGCAGTGGCACAAATCAGAAGCACACAGAGCCAAGAGAGTAGCTAACCAGACAGTCATGGGACACAGAGATTAGAGAACCAGATATCCAAAAACTCGGCAGCCTGGAGGCTGCACTTAAACCCGTCCCACCCTCCACAGACAATCTGGGGGACCTACCCATACGTTAGTGGCTAGGGTTCACCACCGAGGTCCTCCCCAGATCTGGCCCGGTGAGGGTAAGAAAGCAATATTCGGTAACTTGAGGTGACACTTAATGGATAACATAAAGAGGACAAGGTGCTCTGAAAATTTAGAAAACAACTGCTACACTAATACCTGTATATTTTGATGTCTCACGACTGTTTGTGTGCCGTTATATTATATTGCGGTGCTACATGTATGGCTTACCCTTGAAGTACTGTTGTATTACTGTATCCCGTATACCCTTTCTTTTTTCTGTACCCTTTTTTGTTTACTTGATTGGTAAACAATTGGTTTACTTGATTGATTATTTAAAAAAAAAGTACAACCAAGGGGTGTGACTTGACCGCTCGCTGTAATGGACACGTGAGCGCTCAGCATAGGGTTCCTGAAAAACAGCGACTAGCCTAGCATTTTTTCCAATCAAACCATCCAAGTTACCTTGTAATAACCACAGAGCGTGATGGTACACCAGGCCATGACAAAAACAAAGTTAAAACAAACCTCTGTGCAGATCGCAGGCCATGCCACACCACAGTGCCGGCGGCACCGAGAGGCCTTATTCTCTGACTTCCAAATCGGATAGAAGTGACATTACATCTGTGTTGACCAGAACGGCGGCACCAGCTACAGATCTATCTGTGAAAAGGATGTTAACAGACCTCCAAACCTCACTGCAAAATGACTTTTCAAAAATAGCGAAAGAAATCCATTCTGACATCCAAGTGCTGGGCGAAAGAATGGCCCACTTGGAAACCAAGACAGATGAAATTATATCAGCCCATAATACCCTGGCTGAGGCATACGAGAATATGGATGGAAGAATTAATGCCATCTTTACCAAATTGGCAGACCACGAGGATAGAGACAGAAGAAATAACATTTGTATAAAGAGCAAATCAAAAGATGTTAAACCCCAAGACTTGCACGCCTACACAATGGAGCTATTCAAAGCCTTGTTGCCAGGGCTCACTGAACAGGCCCTTCAGGATAGAATCTACAGACTGCCCAGGCCTAAATAACGTCCAGTTACATCACTGAGGGACATCATCACGAGAATACACCATTATACTTTAAAAGACTTTAACATGAAAGCGTCTAGAGATAAAACACTGCTCCCCGATAAATTTGCTGGCATCCAAATATATATGGATTTATCAGCAGCTACACTAGCAGCACGCAAAGCCTATCACTACTTCTCTAAGATCTGCAGGAATATTGTACAAATGGGGATTCCCGGAAAAGCTTGTTGTGTGGAGAAATGGAGTGGAAAAGCATATCCTCGCCCCTGAGTCAGGGAGACAGACGCTGAAAGACTGGAACATCGCCATCTCTCCAACAGACAAAGCCGGTATGTCGCACTCTGCTGCCAGCTCACTGAACAGAATTGCCTATGACTGTAAGACAATAGCAATAGCCAAGTGACAGTTCTAAGCCACAGATAGGCTTCTCCAGATGGTCATTTGACCAAAGGTTGGCATTACACTGCATACTTGAGAAGTATGGTTGAATGTTAGTTTAAAATACGTATGGCTTTATTTTTACTCATACAGCAGTAGTTTATTAATGCTGATGGTAGGCACAAAATGTTGATTAAACGTTAAACATTTTTGGTTTTTATATATGATACACAATCTAGGTTTTTGCCTAATGGCTCACCAATACCCAAAGCTCAAGAAATGCACCCTGTTTTGTATTCAGCAAGGGATTTATTCTTAATCCCTTTTGGGCCTGAGGGAAGGTGAGAGCAGTACTGAACCCCACTCATGTCCCAGAGGGGAATACTGCCTATGAGAAAATATAGAGCATAAAGTAAATATGCAAAGTTATGGGTCACAAGCACAAGGACCTCAATGGAACCCTAACCCCCACGGGCTCCATGGCCTAGTTTTTAATGCTATGTTCAGGTTTCTCTCACCTGGAAAGTCGATTGTACATAGTTTAATTGTTAACATACTCTTTCTACCTTTCTTGCCCCTTTCTGTTCCATTTCCACTTCGAACCTCACTAGACGGTACACTCACCCATAATGTACAGACCACTGCTGAGATTAGCATAATTAAACTTCTCAACACAACAATATTAGGGACGCCATTTTTTGGACCACTTATGTTTTTTAGTGACATCAACCCTTTCTATATATGACACTGACACTGATATCCCTTAATGTGAAGGGACTTGAGTCCCCCAATAATAGGAGACTAGCTTTCAAGGAAGTCAAAGGTACAAGCTCAAATAGCTTTTTATCAGGAAACACATTTCCAGAGAGGTTTTCTCCAAATACTTCCCTATAGATTATCATTCCACCAACAGGGTCAAAAAAGAGTGGTATCAATTTGAATCAATAAGGACTTGGCTTTCCAATTGGTCGAAAAAAATAGGTGACAAAGAAGGGAGTTTCCTCCTCCTACAATGCCAAGTAAACAATGTACCATATACCCTAGTAAACTTCTATGGGCCACATACTGACCAACATTCTTTCCTAGAGAAGATTCTCACCTTAGCAATGTCACACAAATATGGAGAAATACTTCTGGGGGGGATTCCAATTTTATATTGGATTCATCCCTAGAAATGACATCCTCTATGTTCAGTTCACAACAATCCCTCAAGAAATGATAAAATATGGTTAACAAATTAAAATCTACATTCCTAAATTATAACTTTCTAGATGTATGGAGACTCACCCATACTATGGAAAAAGACTTTTCCTTCCACTCGACAACCCACAATTCTTATTCTAGAATTGATCGATTTTTGGTACATAACCCTTCATTGCCCCATGTTCAAAAATCTGCTATAGGTGAAATCTCATGGTCTGACCATGCACCAATTACATTAACAATCCAACAATTTCCCAACAAGGGATCAGGAACATGGAAACTTAATCACATGATCCTTTCTCACCCAGACTGTCACATATTCATCCGCACATACAAATGTGATTAATGGCATTTACTGTTCTGACAGGAAAAGTTATTCCGAGCAACATTACTGTCCTGACAGGAAAAGTTATGCCGAGCAGCAATCAATCCACAGGAGGGTTTGTGCTGAGCAGCAATCATGCAAATAAGAACCTGGTAACTGCCTTTGGGGTCAAAGGCTGGTTACAACTAATCAGATCCACAGGCGGGGTATTTAGGCCCAGTTCTCCTCTTGCTCAGTGCCCTGACGTGGTTTCCCTTGTGGTTGTCCAAGAGCATGTTATTAATTCCGTTTTTTCTGGTTATTTGACTTTGGCATTGATTTTGACTTCCCTGTTTTCTGGCCTCTCTGACCCCTGGCTCTTCCTTATCGTTGTGTCTCTTTCTGTGTCCCTTGACCTCGGCTATTCCTGACTATTCTTTGGTACGTTAGTCCGGCCATTCTAAGGTCCGGTATACGTTACCTATCGATCCTCTGTGTTATCCTCTGTGTCCGGTATATGTTACCTATCGATCCTCTGTGTTACACAATTCTACGTGCTGGATCATACTGTAATCCTGACACAGACATAGTGACTCAAGTAAAAACAGACATATGTGATTATTTTGAAACAAACAAATCGTAGACTACAAATATCATTACTAACTGGCAGGCACACAAAGCAGTCTTGAGAGGCATATTCATCAAGCATGCAAGTCACAGGAACAAAACACGTATAGCTTCCTATACCAAGGTTTTGCAATAACTGAAAGACATAACACACATTAACAAAACAAATCTATCGCCCACTACCAACCAAAAAATGAGTAAACTACAAACCAAACTACGGGAATTGGAACAACAAAAAAACGACATATCTCCTCAACAGGGTTAAACATAACTTTTTTACAAATAGGAATAAAGCAGGAAAGATTCTGGCTTCACAACTGAAAGCTCGGGCTACCAATACCAAAATAGCATATATCCAAACAAATCATAACAAAAAATAATAAATCCTCAACAAATTGTAGACGAGTTTGCAATGTATAACAGCTCACTTTACAATCGAGAAACAGACACTCAAACACCAACCCCAACAAAGGAGGACATCCAAGCCTTCTTGGACAGAATACATCTCCCATCCTTACGGCCTGAGGAGGTCGAACACCTCTCTCAACTGTTCACACACAGAGAAATCACGCAAGCTATCAAAGCACAAATCTCCAGACCCAGATGGGTTCTCCAACTCGTATTACCAAATGTTTCACGACCTCTTAATGCCACACCTGCAAGAACTCTTTAACCACATTTATGCACAAGGTTCTATGCCTTAAGACATGCCCCAATTTCAGACCGATTTCAATGTTAAACTGTGACACCAAATTATATGTAAAAATTAATAGCTAACAGACTGGGATCAGATAATACAAGGACAATTTTCAATATTTTATAATATATGTCCTTAAAGAAGATGAAAGGCCTTCTTCTAGTGCTGGACGCAGAGAAGGCCTTCGACAGGATGAACTGGAAAAACATGGAGGCTGTCCTCCATAAATAGAAGTTCCCCCCTGACTTTATAAATAGTGTTATATTTCACCCCCTCAGCAACAGATATCCAATGCAGGATTATTATCAAAATCATTTACTCTGACTAATGGAACGAGGCATTGTCCCCCTTCCTCTTCATCCTGTCGCTGGAACCACTAGCAAACACAATCCACAAACCTGCTTACTGAAGGGATTAAAATGAAGGATAAATCCTACAATTTTTTTGCCAATGATATCCTGATCACTATTTACAATCCCAAAAGTTCCCTTCCACAACTCCTCCATTTGTGGGAGGAATATAGGAAAGTCTCAATAGAAACAAGATTTCAAGATTCTTTTGTTTCAGGTGTTGTACCGGAGGATTGGAGGAAGGCAGATGTTGTTCCTATATTTAAAAAGGGTTCAAAATCCTTGCCTGGAAATTATAGACCTATGAGCTTA